TTGGATCATGGGCGCGCAAATCGGCAGGAGCGGCGAATCGGCGATGGCGCGGTGGCGGTGGTGGCGTTCACGTGCCTGCACGGCGCCGGGTTCGGCTGGTCGTGGGGGCCGATGAACTGGCTGGTGCCGAGCCCTGTGGACATCCGGCCGGCTGGGCAGGCCATGAACGCGTCCCTCGCCCTCGGCCTCATCTTCGTGCTCACGCAGTCGTTCCTCGCCATGCTCTGCCGCTTCAAGTACGCCACCTTCGCCTTCTACGTCACCTGGGTCGTCGCCATGACCGTCTTCTCTTCGTCGCGCTCTTCCTGCCTGAGACCAAGGGGGTGCCGCTCGAGCCCATGGGCACCTTCTGGGTGAGACACTGGTACTGGAAGCGGTTCTTCCAGGATGAAGAAAAGAACGCTGCCGTGCCGAGACCGTCACCTGATTATACGGTGTGGGTGTGGTTATTAAACTTTGTGGCCAGACATGCCAGTGCATACTCTCTCTATATCTGTGCACATATTTTGTGACCATTCTTTGTCTAGCGTTGTATTCTGCTACCCGCTCTTCCTTCTTTTTTTTTTGTTGGCATTAGTATCTGTCATCTTCAAATTATATGTACTGCTGCACTTTCATCTTTGGTGACCACCTGTCGGCTGTCGGACGTGCATCTCCTTTCTCTGATTAATCACAGGGTTAGGATATATCAACCGAAGTGAAAATGGCTCAAAGCTAATCTGCAAATTTGTTGGAGTCCCACCTTGAGGCTTCGAAAATTCTCAAAATTTCCTGAGTTCTATGTGAGGTGCATTCATGCAAAATTTTAAGTGCAAATTCGATCATGTTTGTGAGATGAAAAAATGACAAAATTTCAGGTTTGTCATCATGTAGTTCTATTTCCCCCTAATTTTGTGTTTTTAATCCTACATAGACAAGTTCAAATTTGCTGTTGACTTTTCATGTGCCTGTGCATTTTGCTTCAATTTTTTTTAAGCTTCAAGCAATGTTTTCTTATGAGCTTGCAAATTTGGCAATATTTGCAGTATTTTCGTTGGAGATGCATCCACCTTTTAAAATATTAGGCACTAATTTATTGCTGCAAGTTGGAAAGCACAATTAAGGTTTCTAGCGTCACCAGAAGTATCAGTCCTTGCTTGTTGTGAGCACTGAACAATGACCCTCGGGGTTCTAAATTGAACCAAAGGCTGAAAACACGCCTGACAATGTTTGTCCCAGGTAACACCTATTTCCTTGATAAGTAAGTCTGCTTTGTGATCTAACAATTGGTTGGCTCATATTAAATCTGTGCCATGGCCAATCTCCTTATTTGCCCTTCTACGAACTTCTGACCAAAATTAAACAAACCAAAAACAGTTTCAAGTGGTTATATGTTTATTCCCCAAGCGAAGTTGACCAGCACCCAACAATTCAAAAACAGTTTCAAGTGGTACTATATTTATTCCCAACTGAAGCTGACCAGTAATCAACAAAATTATTATCCGAATCCATCAAGTTTCTATGAGATTCCTGGTTCTCATCCAGGCCAATACATTGATACTTTCTTAGTCCAGCGGTCCTGCCGGCCTTGCACCAGAAATTATTAAACTGGGCTTTCGCAGTGCTGACTTGCGGATCGGTAATGCAATTCAGTCTTACAGTAGTATATTGTTGGCGCTAATATATCGACATGCTCTCTCTATCTGGAATTCTGTATACAACAAATTGGGCCTTCTCAAATCAAATGCCAACATGAAGTCTATATATGTCTCCATCTGCATCGATCTTTGAAGCAAAGGGGAATTGGCCAGAACAGCTCTGTCGTCGTTGAGAAGAAGAAAGAGTGGGAGATCGAGACAGAGAGATGGCTGGAGGTGTAGTCGTTCCGGATGGTGTCTCTGCTGTAGATTACGGCGGAGGCCTGACCCTCTCGGTGTTCATGACCTGCCTTGTGGCTGCCTCAGGTGGTCTAATCTTCGGCTACGACATCGGCATCTCAGGCGCATCTCACACTCCTTTCGATTTTTCTTGTGTGCGTGACGAGCAGCCCAGTTTTCCTTTACTGGTCAGGGAGAGCATCTTGGTTCAGTTCTTGCTTCTTTGTCACAAATTGCTTTGGTCCATCTTCTGATCGTCTGTTTAGAACAAAAGCATCATTGGATGTTGCTTGATCTTACCGTGTGTCGTTTTGGCAAGCCTTGTTAGTGGAGTAGTTGAGTAACACATTGACCTGTCAATTCAATTCAAGGCGGTGTCTCTGAAATGGGGCCGTTCCTGGCGCGCTTCTTCCCGCACATCCTCAAGAAGATGGCGGAGGCGACGCAGGGGAACGAGTACTGCATCTACGACAGCCAGGCGCTCGCGGCCTTCACGTCGTCCCTGTACGTGGCCGGGCTGGTGGCGTCGCTGGTGGCCAGCCGCGTCAGCAAAGCGCTGGGCCGGCAGGCCATCATGTTGATGGGCGGTGCGCTCTTCTTCGCCGGCGCCGCCTTGACCGGCGGGGCCGTGAACCTAGCCATGCTCATCGTCGGGCGCATGCTGCTTGGCTTCGGCGTCGGGTTCACCTGCCAGGTAAATCACAGCTCTTGCGCTCATGCACCGGTGACGGTTTCACTTGTACGCATCACTGACACGCTTGACGTACGTGCGGCAGGCCGCTCCCCTGTTCCTCGCCGAGATGTCCCCGCCGCGGTGGCGCGGCGCCCTGACGGCAGGCTACCAGTTCTTCCTCGCGCTCGGGGTGCTCATCGCCAACCTCATCAACTACGGCACGGCGCGCGTCTCCTGGGGCTGGCGCGTCTCGCTCGGCCTCGCCGGCCGCCCTCATCTGCGTGGGCGCGCTCTTCCTCACCGACACGCCCAGCAGCCTCGTCGTGCGCGGGCGGGCCGACCGCGCCCGCGCCGCGCTCGTCCGGGTGCGCAGGCCCGGCGCGGACGTGGACGCCGAGCTCAAGGAGATCTCGCGCGCCGTGGAGGCCGCGCGCCAGAGCGAGGACGGCGCGTTCCGCCGGATAGCGACGAGGCGCGAGTACCGCCCGTACCTGGTGTTCGCCGTGGCCGTGCCCCTGTTCGCCGAGCTCACCGGCGTCATCGTGCTCTCCTTCTTCTCGCCCCTTGTGTTCCGCACCGTCGGCTTCGGCAGCAACGCCGCGCTGGTGGGCGCCGTCCTCATCGGAGCGATGAACCTTGGCGCGCTAATCCTATCCAGCCCCGTCATCGACCGGTACGGCCGCAAGGTGCTGTTCATGGTCGGCGGCGTCCTGATGACCATTTGCCAGGTCAGGTGCTTTATTCCATCAACTCGCAGGGTCTTCAGTTCAGTCAAATCTGACAAGTTCCCGGCCGCTGACGGCTCTTGATCCTTGAAGGCTGTCATCGCTTGGATCATGGGCGCGCAGCTCGGCAAGAGCGGGGAGGCGACGATGGCGCGGTCGTACGCGGTGGCGGTGGTGGTGCTGACGTGCCTGCACAGCGCCGGGTTCGGGGCGTCGTGGATGCCGCTGGTGTGGGTGGCGCCTAGCGAGATATTCCCCGTGGACATCCGGTCGCTGGGGCAGGCCATGAACGTGTCCATCATCTTCGCCCTCGCCTTCGTGCAGTCGCAGTCGTTCCTCGCCATGCTCTGCCGTTTCAAGTACGCCACCTTCGCCTACTACGCCGCCTGGGTCGCCGTCATGACCGTCTTCGTCGCGGTCTTCCTGCCGGAGACCAAGGGGGTGCCGCTCGAGTCCATGGGCACCATCTGGGTGAAGCACTGGTACTGGATGAGGTTCGTGCAGGGACATGGGACCAACGCCGTGGCATTGGCACTCACCTGAGATGGAACGGACCTCGCTGTGTCGTTGTTTCCTGTCTGTGGCTTGACACGGGAATGTGCGACGATATATCACTGTGGTGTAATCTTTGGTTAGTGTAAGCCATTTCCAAGTGTGCTATACTTCCTGTCTTCCTCAATCTATGTAATCACTTCTTTGTTCGAAGAATATATATATATATATATATATATATATATATATATATATATATATATATATATATATATATATATATATATATATATATAATCTCTACTACTAACATATACTACTAGTAATTTGGCAACACAGATTGTTGACAGTAAAGAATGGAGTGTGTGTCAGTATGATGTACCGTTCTCATCAGAAACAATGTCGTCACAACACTAAAATCATTTGTCCCCGAAACTTGAAGCATTGGCTTGTTGATGGCCCAACATCTACTGAATTATGAAGCCGAGCAGGAAACAAAGATGATCCCACCCATATATCTTTTTGTTGCAAATCCCACTCCACCACATGAAAATTCAGCAATGTAAAGCTACTGACATAGTATATATCCAAGTCATATACTTCTACAAGTGTAATCTCGATATTTTTTTTGTCTCCACTAAAAGAATTATTGATGAAGGCATAATCATAATCACACCACGATTTTCACTCTATTTATCTTTCTATCATGATATGATGAATAAACATAATTCAAGTACCTAAGTAAGATTGACTTAGCTACATTGGTTTCTAGTAGCTATATGTTCATGAAAACATAGGGAAGTAATTAAGCACATGTCAGTGAACAATATGTAAAAGCTGACTGTCCATCAGCATTGACGGAGCGTTCTGTTCTTAACAACATGTAAAAGTCGACAGAACCTATGTTCTTAACAATAGCTAAGTCCTAACCCCACGGAGCGTTCTAAGGAATACCCTGTGGATCCAGACTTGTCCTATAGAGATTTCAAGAACAAATGTATGTAAATATGCCTACCAGAAAAGCATACTAAATAACAAGTAAAACGGCTAGATAAATTGCACACCGAGGATTGTAGTAAATAGTAAATGAGCCACCACTTGATGCTGCATGAGCTGCAGCAGCAAGAACACCTATGTGCGTACTGTCAGTAGACAGGACGGACGATGACAAAGCAGATTGTTGTCAGGTGGCATGAAATTCTTTATCTCCTACTGCTTTCTGCAAAAGTTATCGGGGTCTTCAGTTTTTTTTCTTTACCGTGCTTGTGACCTGACAAGACACAAGAGATGAAGGACAATAGTAATTAAGGAATTAAAAATAATAACAACCGGCAAGGAAAGAAAGGATGATATTTTTTTCATAGTCATCAAACATGAGCAGATTCAGTCGAATTTCATTTTCGTCTTTGTAGCCATCTCAAAATTATTCAAAACAAGAGGTGATTGGAAACTTATCTGATTCATTACTGAGTATTCCATATATATCTGAATTTTTTGATTGCATCTTACCAATCAGATGTATTGCAGCGGGCTGAGGTCGTGCACGGGTTGAAGCGCTTGTACGTGAACTGCAGCAGCAGCCACGACTTCCCCACACCTGCAACACAAACAACCAATCAACCGATCATTCGCCGCTCGTATCTACCAATACCAGTGGCCATATGACACCCAGGCTCCCTCTCACGAGGCAGGGCAGCGGGTTCGAGAGCGAAGAGGAGTTCGCGCCGTGGTTGACCATCCGCAACAAGTAATTAATCAACAATCTGCATTGCCTTTCCCTAAAATTCATACACGCAGAAAAAAAACAACTGAACATTGTGTTCAATTACAAGGAAAGGAAAGGTGGTGACGGTGCATACCCCTCTCATGCAGCACAAACACTGGAAGGGCAGCAACAGATCTTTAGCTTGAAGATCCATCTGAGCATGAAACTCGGCTAGAATGTCATCTTGTACTTGTGATATGGAAAAATGCTTACCACTTGAACAAATGGCAATCAGAAATTCAGAGAATCGATAACACGTCTGCCTGAAGATGAATCGAATCAAAATTGCATTTTGAAAACAGATCCTTCTCCTTCCTGTTGATTACGTACCGGGGCCCTGGAGGAAGTGGGCTTGCGGTCCCATTGCCGTCGGCATGCACGGAGATCTTCTCAGTTGTAGATAGGGCCCAATCCGCTCTCTCCGATGAAGTAAGGCTGGTCGCGTCGGCGGGCCATTCGCATTCCCACCGCGCCGCCGTCGGATCGACCGGGGCCTCGCTGCCGATGGGCATCTTCAGCCGGATCCAGGCCGCCGTGCCCGGCGGACGCGCGAGGGGCCCAGGCGCGGGCACCGGCTGGCCGCCCGCCGCTACTCCATGGCACCCTCTGCCCACCTCGGCCCTGCTCGCATCCCTTGGAAGCCGCCACAGCCAGCCGCCCTGGAAGCCCCTAGTCGCGTCCTATGGAAGCCGCCGCAGCCACCTAGCCCAACCGGCCGCCGGGATCAGGCGGGGCGGTCGTCCTGGCTGTGGGGGAAGAGGAGAGGGAGAGGAGTCAGCACGTGGGGAAGAGGAGTCAGTGCATGGGGAAGAGGAGAGGGAGAGGAGTCGGCGCGTGTCTGGTAAATGCAGCGCGGGTTTCTCCACCAGGAGTCACGGCGTCCGTGGGGGAGGGTCGAGGTAGAGTCGCGGCGTCGGGGAGAGATCGAGGAGTCCCGGCGTCGGGGGAGAGGGAGAGTGGCGCGGGGTGGGCGGGACGAGTGACGAGGCTTGATGCAAACAATTCGGACAGTTGGAGTGAGGCCCCGTTTAGTTACAAGCCAAAAACTAAAAATTTCCAAGATTCTCCATCACATCAAATCTTGCGGCATATGTATGAGAGTACTAAATATAGCGGAAAAAAAACTAATTACACAATTAGCCGAGAAATCGTGAGACGAATCTTTTAAGCCTCAATAGTCCATAATTGAATAATTTTTGCCAAATAAAAACGAAAGTGCTACAGTAACCAAAAGCCAAAAATTTTCGGAACTAAACGGGGCCTGAGTAAGGGCCGTTTGGCCGGCCTTCGGCGGCTCTGGCTCCTGCCCTGTTGGCCGCTGGACGGTCGACTTTGGCCGGCCTTCGACGGCTCCAGCTCCCGCTCCTGTCGGCCGTTGGACGGTCGACTTCTCTTTCCTTCTTTTCTCTTTCACTAACACCAACAGAGCCGGAGAAGCTTGTTTTTCTGGCTCCGCGGCTCCAGCTCCTGTAGGCACCTGTTGGCCGCTGGGCAGCCGACACCCGGCTACAGTGTAGGAGCTGGAGCCCGCGGGAGCCCAGCCCAACGGAGCCTAAGAGAAAGAAGAGTTTAGAGTAGATCTGGGTGCGTTCGTTTTAAAGGTGAGTTGTTTTTTTAGTGTAATGCCCCGTTCGCTGGTCTGAATCTTGGCTGAAACTGGCTGAAAACACTGTTCTGGCTGAATTGTTGTGAAAGAAAAATACTGTTCTGGCTGAAAAAATAAACCAAACAAGCCGAATATGAGGTAAGCCGAACGGGGTCAATTTTTTTTATGCATCTAGGAGAGATTATGATTGTGGTGAATATTTTTTTTGACGTGGCTTTAGAAAAATTTACATCAGTACATTATATGTGATAGAGATACGGAGACATTGTTTGAAGATGGCTTGCCATTTTTCTACTGCCACTTGTGAACCACAGGTGAGCTAGCTTTGGAAATTTTCCATTCACGACATATATAGCAGTATATAATCTTTCTATCTTTGGAAATTTCCCATTCACTACATAGCAATCTATAATCTGTAACTGACATTAGTTAATGGGTAAAATATTTTTTCAAGGTAATATTAGATTTTGTGCTTGCAGAAGATATGGAGCAGATTTTTACAACGATATTAAAGCAGCATAGGTACTAGCGCATATGGCATACAGCCGGTAATGGCAAGGATCCCTCAAACCCTATTCGCTTTAACTACTTCAGCAGTACTTTTTAGCGAACGAACAACGTTTTTCTCTCCCAACAAATCAACATAAGTTAAATTTCAGCGAAACGAACAGGGGCACCTAGTTGCATGCCTTAATGAGCAGTCTAGAGTACTTGGAAATCTTTGATGAGCACAGGGAACATGGTAGTATTAGTCAATTTTTTTTCGGAAATCAATATCTCCTACGTCATACATAAAAGGTTAATGCTCACATTGCAGAACTAAACCAAACTAAAGTGGCATGTATATTGACTGTAATTTTTTGTTTTGTTTAATAAATAAACGGGGTAGGAGCCTAGGAGCAAGTTCAATTCAAATTCACGCCATGCTTATCATTTCTAATTTTTATGTAGTTATATCCATGTTTGAAGAAAGTTTATTGGCCATGATATATTCAGTATTATAATACTTATCAAATGAAAAAGAGGGCAGGCAGCATCTTTTGTAATTGCCATCATCCATCGTAGCTTGTGGAACTTGTATGTTGCCTTTACATCAGTATGCACTTCCTGCATCGCCCAGTCAGAATCCAGGGAGATGTCTATGCTGGATCCCTGTATTCTAGAACGCGCTACTCCTAGGCCAAAACTGATTTCCATCTCCCACATGCATTTGAGCAAACAGGTGGAGCGCATGCTATTGCATACATTGGAGCACGGGAGCAACGCCACGAAGGCAGCCCGCCGCCGGCATGGCCTAGGGAGCGCCAACAACAGCAGGGGTAGGACACGAAGCACTACCCGGAGTCGTCCGCAGCGCCGCTGGCCGCGTCCTCCTCTCCCTACTCGGTCTTGCCCCTAGCCTGCGCTGTCGTCGCCTGCTGCACTTGCGTGTGTTCCCAGTGAGGAGCGGGCGCAGTGTGAGGAGGGGACATCGGATCCCGGCTTGCCGGCTGTGACATGGCCTGTGCCCTGTGGAGACGCAAGATGGTGGAAAAAACAGGCGATTGAGGTGGGGCAGCGTAGGGAGGGACGATTGGAGTCGGAGATGACGTCGCACGCGGTGTGGATCGGGTCCTTGGCCTAGAGCCTGGAGGTCGAGCAGGCAGGAGGAGGAGGCGTCGGCTCAGGGCGGAGGCATCAGCGCCGAGGGAGAGGGCGCGGCACAGCGCGAGAAGGGGATGGCTGCGGCAGCTTGTCTTGCGCCGAAGACGAAGGCTCTGGAATCGCTATCTGCTGCACCGTGGATGGTTCGATCAATATGCAACAGAGGATAAAAAAACAGGCGACATGGCCCAATGAGAGGGCAGAGCTTGGCCCTGATTTCGTTATATAGAGAAAATCTTCTAACGGAATTCTTGCATGTATGTCTTTCAAGCAAATTAGAACAAATAACTGAAATGGTCTGTTTGTTCATTGTCACGTTATTTTCACATGATTTTCGATCCTCCGAATCATATATTGTACTTTTACCTATGTTTCTCATTGCAATCCAAATATCCAATAGACCAATAGTCTTAGTTAATGTTTACTTATCTCCTTGCTCCTATGGTTACAAGCAAAGTACTAGTATAGGATAGCATGGGGCGGAGGAGAAAACTGAGAGCTACTTTGGCAGCCCATTTTAACGTGGGGTTCTCGGCCTTTTCCCTACGGATGAAGCCCAACTAGTTCACATTTGGAAGCCTGTTATGCAGGGGTCTTAGGCTTGAGCAAGCCCAGTTTCCACATGGAAACAAGCTCGGCCTACTACGAACACGAGCCCGGAGCAGTCCTCCATGTCTCACGGGCACTATGCTAGCGCGCCAAGTAATATTTCTAGACTGATTTTTTTTCAGGGCAACCCGATTCATAATTATTTTAATTTGAACGTGAACAGCACCATATCAAGATGTGATCAACTTCAATAATAGGAACACGCCACTTTTGAAATGGGTTGTCATGAACATGGATGCTTGGCTTTTGGAAGGATCATTCGTCAAAGTGAGTGGCGCTGTTTCCTACCAAGGCTACCGACGGAGTGCTAGGGTATGCCCTTAAAAGCCGTGAGTAGTACTTATAGTAGTTCAGTAGTGCTTTGCTTTATATTAGATTATAAAAAACAAGGTTGTCGACAAAAGATGCTCGGCAGTCCTTCGAGGGGTATCCCACGAAGGTAGATTGATCGGTGGAGGTGCGCGTAATAGGAACCGAACAGTGACACAAGGCGCAGAAACAACGATTTAGACAGGTTCGGGCCGTCTAGACAGGTTCGGGCCGTCTAATCGACGTAATACCCTACGTCCTGTGTCTTTAGTGTATTGTATTGAGTATGAGATCTGATGGAGATGCCTTAGGCTAGGCCTAGGATCCATATGGGGATGTCGACTAGGGAACACCTGTCTCTCCTTATATACTCTGGAGGGGTAGGGTTACAAGGAAAGTATCATATTTGGTACTATACAATATCTTGCGGTGGACGTCGACCAGTGCCATGCACGTCGTCTTGATCTTGTGGGCTGGGCCATCTCTAATGGTGCGGCCCATGTGGTCTGCCATGGGTATCTGGGGTCGTACCCCCCACAGCTAGTCCTCGAGTGCCTTGTATCCGTTGTGCAACGCCGTCTTAAGCTTGTCCGAGCAGGTGCGAACAAAGCTGAGCAGCCAAACTCATGGTCCGACCACCATGATGAGTTGCCGAGCAGTTGTGAACCGTCGTCGAGCAGTGTGAACCGTCGCCGAGCAGCGTGAACCGTCGCCGAGCAGCGTATCCCAAGTTAGGCTTGCCATAAGGATGTAAGGAGCTCAAGTTCAAAATCTAAAAATTCTTCGACTTAGGAGAAGTGTAGCCACTTAGACTCCGTCAATAAGGAGGGTAAATCAAGAAACAAGCACTACATTCATCACCAGGTGAAGTGTAGCCACTTAGTCCCCGAGCCTGCTGGAAGATAAAGAATGAATCTTGTAGCAGGGTCAAAGAAAAGAAGTCTGAAAGCTTGCCGACATCATCTGGCATGCGCGTATCAAGATCCTAGACGTGCTGCCCAAGATTAGCACCCTGATTCGAACAACATGGAGCAACTTGATAGCACACCGATGAACCGATGAGACGTAGCAAGATCCGACCACCAAGAGAGTCCTCAGCTTAGCTGGTGATGTTTGCACGAAGAATCCGAACACTGTGGAGTCCCCAGCATAGCCGGCGATGTCCGAGCACCGAGAAGTTTCCGGCGTAGCTGGCGATGTTCGAGCACCGAGGAGTCCTCGGCGTAGCTGGCGATATCCGAGCACCGAGGAGTCCCTGGCGTAGCTAGTGATGCCCGAGCACCGAGGAGCCCCCGGCGTAGCTAGCGATGTCCGAGCACCGAGGAGCCCCCGGCGTAGCTGGCG